GAGCAGATCTTATTATTCATTCCCACCGCGAGATTGAAGTCTTGTTTTCGACCCTGAAAAACCCACCTTTTCCGTTAGCTCAGAGCATAAAACTACATGTAAGCGCCCTGGTTCGTATTACCTACCTTATGCCCTGCCATCGCTGTGAAAAATACGCAAGAGAATCTCTCCGGCAACTCTCACCATTTGATCACGCAACGTGACAACATCCACGCGAGAGCCCCCGACATGTACGTGAATCCGCGCGGAAATATGACGTCTGGATGGCGCAATTTGTTCTAAAAATAGAAAAATTGTTCCATATCATAGGTGCGCGCGAATCCCGAGACTTACGGTCTCCGTCCCCGATTATGGCTCCTGGTTCGACTCAAGAGTTGCACATGGTGTGAGTCATTGTCACCTGACTTCTGCACTTCTCGCGTACTCTGTATACGCATACTCTGTATAACATCGAGAGAATATGAAGGAACGACGAACTTTGCTTCAAATGGTCATTTTTCCTGAGATAATCGTCCCATTATCCCATGACGTGATATGGAAAGGTTAAGAGATAAGACGAGACAATTACACGTAGAGGTCTCTACCAAAGGACAACACACGTCTTCCAGAAATATCTTTTATTATCACCTTATCACAGGAAAAAAAAACCCTACCTACTCCTCCCACGTTTCCTTATTTGCATGGTTACGCTACGCTTCTCTTCAGCAACGTGACGTAACGAGCCAAATGAGGGCTGTCTAGAAGACCTACTCATCTCCAGGCTTTCCAGAAGCTGAAGGAGATGCACACGTGACAAAAATTCAACAACATAGTCTGACCTGATTCGATGAGATGTTGTTAAGCAACACGATTGTAGTCAGTGACACCACACTACCCTCCTAAGCAGACTCTCGTTGGGCTCCTCACACAATCTTCCTCAGATTGCGTGACGAGCCCAAAGACCGTCTGCGAAGGGGGCTAACACAACACCGACCTAAGAGTTTTCTTTTTCAAGAATCACGGACAAAATCTAAAGATGGTATCTCTCAATTCAATTATTCAAATATTCCTTAG